AGGAGAGAAAGAAAAGAAGATATATATGATCTGGTGTATACCAGAGATCATAACACTCCTCCCGCTTAAGTAAAAAAAAGGATGTTACATCTTTCATTTTTTTTTTTTTTTTTTAACTTATTTTGAAGATGTTACTACAACTAAGAAAAGAAATGAGAAAGTTATGAAATAACATAGAAAGAGAGAAAAAAAATGTTATCAAATGAAAAGAAGAGAAACAGAGAGAAAAAAAACCGGTTGATTTGCTAGCAATATATCACCAAATATAAGTTGATCAGATTCGATGTATAATGATAAACTTCTTTTTTTTTTTTTTTTATAAGAAAACATATGTAAAGCTAATAGATAATCAACTAATAACATTATATCAATAACATTTATCATGTGAAACATAATAGTAATGTGAAGATATATATAAACCAGAAACTGCAATAGAATAATCCACCAATAATAAAATAATATCAATAACATTTATTATGTCAAACATAATAGTAATGTGAAGAGATATATAAACCATAATTTTCAATAGAATAATCAACTGTATCTGTACATAAAAACATCTGAATTAATATCAATCAAATATCCAAAAATAATAATAATAACATTAAAGTCAAATGAAATTGTATAATCAGTAGAATTGTTTTAAAATGTAATAAATAGCATCAAGAATATAAATAAATATCAGTTTTGGCCATAACTAACAAATATTCATTCTTCAAATCCGTAACATACATAAGTTTAACTTGTCCCGCAAGAAGATTCTTATGGATGATGATAATTAAACGTAACCATAATTTAACACAAAATAAAATAATTCACTAATAAATAGTTTCAAATGATGCTTCATTAAATACTTGAATTAATTATAAATAAAATTAATTATCTGTAAGTAATAGTGGTCTAATATCACTAACATGAACTTTAGCAATTCTTTTTGTATCCATATGTCTTCAACAGTGTAAATTGGATGATGATTTTCAACAATTATCTTTGGATCAATCGAAAATCTTGGGTCTAATTTAGATCTGTTTGTAAATACTCGAGTTAAAACTGTTGTACCTAAATCATATTCAGGATTTTTACGATGATAATCATATCGACCTTTTGTTTTTTGTTGTTGTTTCAAGATAATTTCTTTAACTGTTTGATGATAATATTTTAAATTAAGAACCAATTGTCGAAAATAATCATGAGGATCAGGAAGTGTTAATGTTGTTACTGGAGGATCAGTTGGAAGATTTGCTTGTCGACCAAATGTAAGTGCATATGGAGATATATTTGTTGTTGAATGCACACCGGTGTTGTAAGCGAAAACGATCGGATATAAATATTCATCCCAATTGTTTGTTTCATTATCTGTTAATTTGGCAAGTTGAATAACGAATGTACCATTGAACCTTTCAACTGCTCCATTAGATTGTGGTCTATAAGGTGTACAAAATATATGATGATAACCTATTAATTTTGATAATGAATACATCAAATTGTTCTTAAAACTTGTACCTTGATCTGAAATAATTACTTTAGGTACACCAAACTGACAAATGTAATTTTTAAAAATAGCTTCTGCTGTAACACCAGCCGAACAAGAAGGTAAAGCAACTGCAACAATAAATTTGGTGAAATAATCGGTGAGACAAAGTACATATTTATTTTCTTGTGGTGTTATTGGAAATGGGCCACAAAAATCCATTCCTAGTAATTGATTAGGACCATCCGGTGGTGGTATTGGATGAAGAAAACCAGCAGATTTTTGTCGATTTACATTAAAGGCTTGACAAGGAACACACGATTTTATATGATCCATAACTGTCTGCTTCATTTCAGGCCACCAAAACTGTTGTTTAAGTTTATCTAAAGTCCTTCGAATTGCAAAATGACCACCAATAAGAGGATTATCATGATAAGAAATAAGTAATTGTTTGATCATAGATGATGGAATATAAAATAATTTACGTTTAGTCTTTCCATGTGGAATAGATGCTAATTTATATAAAATTTCATCTTGATAAACAAAAGACATATTTGGGTTCTTTTGTAAATCATCAATAATCTTTTGAACTTGTTTATCATTAGATTGATATTCTTTTAACTTCGTTATATCAAAAAAAATTTCGTCAGGATTTAAATAATTTAAATCGTTTGAAGGTGATGGAGATGATGATGATGTTATATGTTGTGATGGAGATGATGATGATGTTGTATGTTGTGATGGAGATGATGATGTTATTTGTTGTGGTGTTATTTTAGATTTTGATCGAGTAATTGCACCAATTAATTGAATAGAAGAAGATTTATCTTTTTTAAAACCTAAACCATAATCATGATCAAGTAATTCATCTTCAGCAGTAATAGGATGTCGTGAAAGATAATCTGGTAAACAATTATATTTTCCTTTAACATGTATAATTTTTTGAATATTAAATTCTTGTAATAAGATCGATATTTTTTCAACACGTCTATTTAAAATTTTCTTATCCATCATATGACAAATAGGACAGTTATCCGTATAAATGATAATATCACGACCAAGTAAAAAAGACTTCATTCGAGTAAAACATTTAAAAATTGCTAATGCTTCAAGTTCAATTGGAATATATCGTTTTTGCGTTGCATTCAGTAATTCTGAATGATAATAAAGTATTCTTTTTTCATTATCAATTTCTTGATAAAGTATACCACCTAAACCAACTTGAGAAGCATCCGTAGATAAAAATACTGGATATTTATCATCTGGAAAATTTAAAAAGAGTGGTGATGACGTAAGAATATTTTTCAAATCATAAAAAGATTTTGATTGTTCAGATCCCCATTTGAATTTGTGTCGATTAAGTTTTGATAAATTCGTTACGGCATGTATAGGTGCGGCAACTGATGCAAATGCAGGTATAAATTTTCTATACCAAGATAATGAACCTATAAAACGATTAGCTTTTGATAATGATTTTGGTTCTGGTAATGCAATAATTGATTTAATACGATAAGGTAGTGGAGTAATAATATTTGATGAAATTATATGACCTAAATATTCAATTTTTTCTTTTGCTAATTCACATTTTTCAGGATTTAATGTTAAATTATGTAATTTTAATGCATTTAATACTTTATTTAAATGAAGTAAATGTTCATCATAAGTATGACTAAATACAACAATGTCATCTAAATAAATTAAAGAACAATCAGTACATGAAGATAATACATTGCTCATAGTTCTTTGAAAAGTTGGCGGAGAATTACGAAGTCCTTGAGGCAAAACCAACCATTCAAATAAACCAAACGGCGTTATAAAAGCAGTTTTAGCACGATCAGAAGGATTAATTGGAAATTGCCAAAATCCTGATTTTAAATCTAGTTTCGAAAAAAATGAATATCCTGCACCTAAAGATTGAAGAGTAATTTCCATGTTTGGCAAAGGATAATTATCTTTAATTGTTATAGAATTCAATTTCTTGTAATCATTCACCAATCTCCAACTTTGATCTTTCTTTTTAACTAACAATGTTGGAGCTGCATATGGTGATTGAGAAGTACATATAAGTCCAGCATCAAGTAATTGATCAATCATTATTTTTAATTCAGCATTTATTGTTGGATTACCAGGATATGCTTTTGATACTGGTGGCGTATGAGGAATTGTCTCGATAAAATGAGTAATTTCTGTTTGTGCAATTTTATAATTACTTATATCAAATGTAGATTCAAATTGAAATAATAAAGATTGAAGTTTATAATGTTGATCTGGATTAGAAGTATGATTGATTAATTTTAAAATAGATTGTTGAGTATTATTAAATGATGTTGTGATAAGTGTGTTCAATTGTTGCATTGGTGTTGATTGTATAAGATTTGATAACTGTAAAGAATGATCAGTTAATGATGTTTCAGAATCCATTTGTATCATAACCTTTTGATTATTAAAATTAAAAATAATCAATTTTTTCTTCGGATAAATTTCTAAATCATATTTCAACAAATAATCAAGACCTAATATAATATCAGTACATAAATTTGTAGTAATAAATGCTGGAATAGATGTTGTAGCATCACCTATAGAAATTGATAAATGAACAATACCAGTTGTTTTAATCTCATTGAGCCCATCAGCCATAAAAAATTGTTGTGGTGTATTACGATAATATATTAATTGATCAAGATTTTTTAAACAAGTTTGATTAATAAAACAATGTTGAGCACCAGTATCAATTAAAATTTTCATTTTTTTTTTTATTAACATGTGTGGTTATAAAAATTAAGGAAGGAGTAGATGGATGTTGAGGTGAATTATTGAAGTCAAGACCATCTATCATTGACTTCGATTTCCGAAATGGTGACAATAACGTGCTAAATGAGTTGCTGAACCACAATTAAAACAACATTTATATGATTGAGATTGTTGTTGAAAACGATTATTTTTATGTGTATTATAATTATTATTATAATTATATGATGATGATGGAATTTTTTGTGGTGATTTAACAGCATTTACTTGACGAGATGAATTAAAAAATGAAGATTTTGAAATTTGATTCAAATAACCATGTTGATTATTATCATTATGAGGAGAATAATTAGTATTATTATTATAATAATGATTTTTATCATTTGCATCACGACGAGAATCATTAAATTGATTTTTTGTTGTTGAACCATTAATATTTGAATAAGAATTTGATGCTGTTAATTCATTATTATTAATTGAACTGCTAGAAAATACATTATTTAATGCAGTAAGTTCTTCAGCTATTTTTGCTTGTGCTAAAAATGCTTCTGGATTTGCAGGATAATTTCTTCGAGTTTCAGTAGATAAAGATTGACGAAGACCATTCATAAGATATCGAACTTGTGTTGATTCATTCATATGTGGATCAGCTTGTTTCATTATCTTCATCATTTCGATATAATATTGTGTTGTTGATTGATGAATTGTTTGATGATACTTTTTAAGTTTATCAAAAGCCATATCACGTTGTAAATTTGATGTAAATGATTTGCGTATTTCATCAATAAATATGGTCCAGCATGTAAAGTTGTGTTGTTTGTACCATTGTAAAGCTTCACCAGCAAGACATATATGAATTAATTTTAATTTTTCATTATCATTTAAATGCATTATATTAAATTGTTGTTCAATTTCATCAATCCATGTTGTCACGTTGTCTTTACCACCATAAAATTTTAATGGATCTTTAATGAATTTGTCGATCAACGCTTTAGCAATTGTTTTTGATAAATCATTTATTTGTTCACGATTAGCATTAACAACAACAAGTGGATGTAATGCTGACGATTCATTTATTTGTTCACCATTATTATTAACAACACGATCAGGAATTTGTTCACGATGAGCATTAATAACATGATTAGGAGTTTGTTCACGATGAGCATTAATAACACGAGCAGGAATTTGTTCACGATTAAATTTAATATATTCTTGTATAAACAACTGACATAAATGTGCATACGATTGAAATTTATCTTGATTTAATGTATACCAAATAAAAACATCATCTTCAAAAAAATATGGAATAAGCTCGAATCGTTCATCAAATGTTAAATTAAATTCCATAAATTTCGATTGAATATGTTTTAACCATAAACGAGCATCATCACTACCATTATATGATTTCACATGATGACGAAATACTTCTAATAAAGATGGTTTATCATCACGTTCTGTTATAGTATATTCACCAAGTGTAGGTGGTTTATCTTCAATAATTGTTTTTGTTAATAATGATGAATTTTCATTAGAATTTCTTGTTGTAACTTGTGTATCACATTGAGGATCAGTAACATCTATTGATTCAACTTGATTACTTTGATGTTCGTTCATAATTAATTATAAATTAACAAATCAATTAATTATATATATGTAAAGTCACTGCAGGGTCGCCATGTTAGATGTACTGCCTCTCTTTAAGATGTTTATTCGTTGAATCGAG